TTGGTTTATTTTTTTCCCCCCTTTTCAACATTCCTCTTAGAAAAGCATTGGAATATTCCTGATTATTACGATCCTAAGTTTGGTTTAACAATTAGATGCTATTAATACTGTAGTTTAAAATGCGACCAATGTTTCCTAGTCTCATTTTTGCTTAATGATTTCCTACTAATTGATTATTAAAGGAAGAAAGGACTTTGATAAATTTAAAATGATTAACGCATGTTTTTAGTGCACTACATTTTATATTTCCTATGCTGGTGTTTTAGAGATAGGGGCTTAGTAAATAAGAAATGGGTGTGAGCAGTCTTTGTGATAGGATGGGAACCCAGCTTTATGTAATACTAGTGACTGATCTCTTTAAGTAATGTATTGCAAGCGTGAAATATTCTGGAGAATGTGTAGTGTGATGAGCTAATTCTTAAAAGTAGAATTGTTTTGCGTTACCATTTTATTATTTGTCAAAATGTAAACAAATAGAATTTTTTTCCTTGTAGGTGACATATCTCTGCTTAATCTCGCAACAGTTTTGTGTTTGTTTTCTTCTGCTATATTCCACAAAGGACTAGGTAGCTCAGGTCTGAGTCATTGTGCCTGGAGGGAAGGCATATAATAATACTTTAGTTTTTATGCCACATTGGATTTTTATCCAGATATAATAGGGCTGTTTCATTTGAAGCTTGACAGTTGCTTTTTTCCTTACTTTAGTATCTATAATTGCATTTCATAACTCTTCAAATTCTTCATCATGCAACACTTTGTTCTTGTCTTCCAAGTTACTGGCACCAGGCATTCTTTCTCTTCCCCAGCATCTCTCTTTGCTGCTCTGTGTGTAATTTGGTTAAGAATACTCAGCCATTTACCTGTAGTAAATAGTATTTCCCCTCACATATCAGTGAAAAGCCTTAAGGGAAAAACCAAAAGAAACTGGAAAGCACAAGGGATTTCATCAGGCTCAGTGTCTGATTTTGTGAGTATAGGTATATTAAATCTGTATTTGCTACAATTGTTTTTGGCTTCCACAGAATCCCTTTACTAGTTATTGATGCTATGTTATAATTGATCTGTCTGTTATTATTTGAGTGATGGCTTTATTACTTATTATTTTGTTGCCCAAAGCATGTAGAAGCACCTCTGAATATTAATCAAATGCATTCGTTTTTTCTTCATTTTTGCCGTTCTGTCTTATCCTCTCAGTCTTCTAATGAGTCTTTGCAGCCAGCTCTTGCCTATCTTCAGTCCATTTTCCACCCAGCAGCCAGTATTCATGTCCATATTTAATCTGATCATGTTATTCTCCTACTAAAAACCTTCAATAACCTTTAGGATAAACCAAATCCGTTGCATGCCCAACAAGGCCCTATGTGGTCGGACCGTAGGCCACCTCTCTAACCTTCCATGGTGCCACTTTACAACTGGTTAATAGGGCTAGTGATGAGGCTAATCCCAGCTTCGCCAATGTGTTTTTTTTCTCCTACGTACCTTCTCGGTTTAGGGGACAGCTCTGGCCCCATTTCTCTGACATGGTCATTCATCCTTCAGGCCTCAGATTAAATGTCCCTTCCCCAAGAAAGCCTAACATCCAGAGTTAGGTCAGTCCTTTTTCTTTCTTACTCCTGTTGTACCTTGAAATGCTTAAGTTGCCTGCTGAGACTGGCAGCTGAATTAGCCACAGACAGGTCTTCTTGACCACAGTTTAACATATTTGAAGTTAAATGTTTTTATGTTCATGAGTACATCTTCTGATGTCCTTATCGCACCCTCTTTTTCTCAGAAGTGGCTGGATTCACTCATTTACAGTTATTTGTCTGACTTCTTTGCAGCTCTCTATATAATTAAAATTAATTATTTGTCATAAGTTTACTTTCTTCTTTCTCTGCTAGACAGTAAGCCCTTTGTGGGCTGTATGCCTAGCCCAGTGCCTAGCCCATGGTAAGGTATGCAGTAAATAATTCCTGACCCTCTGGTACAAGACATAAAGCATGGTTGACAGTCACCCATGGCTCATTGAACTGAATGTATATCAACCCTGTGGTTATCTTCCCATGACAGCGGTTGCCATTTTTGTCCTTGGGTCCCATTATCTCTGCTAGTTTTGCCATTCCTGGATTAGAAAAGCTGTCAACTTCTTGTTATATATTTGCCTTAACATCTCATTTCACATTTTATACTTTAGTTCACCTAAATTACATATTAAATGTTTGAATACATGTAATTTTTAGAGAGGTCTGTAGATATGTATTTTTTTCCTGTATAAGAATGGAGCATTCTGGCAGATCTAAGACCCCCATGTGTAAGTATTATTTTATCGCTTGATGTAAAGGGAAAAAAAAAAAAATCTGTGCCATCTGAAGTTTTTATTTTCTCATAATTTTAATTACCTGCCTTGATCCCAGTGAGGGTTACTAAGAATAAGGGCCAATATTTCATGTCCCAGACAAGGAACTTCTGAAAACTGCCTGGTTGTCTGGGCATCTTGCTTTGATTCTTGCTCTGGAAGGAGGTAGAGCTGGAGGATGTGGGACCTTGGCTCCAGGCCACGTGGTGCCAGGGACCTGGTAAAGCTGGGCCAGTGCAAGAATGTTTAGAGTAGACAGTAGCCAGCTATTTTGCTGTTCAGGGTTGGAGGATTATTGGTGATCCTTTCCACAACATTCATAGTCTGGAGAAAATGGTCATAGACAAGAGCCTATCAGTTGCAACTATAGTTATTTCAGAGTGAACTTTAAACAAATAACTTCTCTTCTGCTTCGTAATCATCATGTGGAGAGAAAGCATAATGCCTGTGGGAGTGAGTGTTGGGAGCACAGCTTATTCATATTTGGCATAGTGCTTTTGGAATTCTTTATACTTTATAAAAATTATAGTGGTTACTGACTTATGGTTGATTCTTACAGCTTGGTTTTGTTGGAAAAGATTATCTGATAATTTAATATGAGGTGAAATACAATTATAGGTATGATAACTTAAAAAAAACAAACTATGTTCAATATCAAAGAAGAACTTGTTTTACTTTCCATTTCAACAATCTACTTAGTTTTCTGTGTTTTGCCTTCTTTGCCAGAAAAGTTTACTTCTAATACTTTTCATCAAATATACAGATTTGTTTCATTTGAGAAACCAACCACAGGTTCAGAGGAATTATTAGTGGTTTTTCTCTCTAGAATTCCTTCCTAATATTGAGTTGTCTGGCAGGATCTCCAAATGTCTGAATAAACTAAACTGAGAACGGTAGACATTTGGCCCAGAGGACCAACACAGGGCTCTAAGAAAATACAAAGGGAACACACCAAACGATTAACAGTCCTATCTTTCTGCACGGGTGAAAAGTGACTTTCTGGTTTTACTCTATCCATGTCTGAGGTGACAATAAATATGTATTTCTTTTATAAATAAAAACCAAATCATCACTACCACCTCACACTTATTAGGATGCCTACTTTCAAAGAGAGACAGACACAGACAGATACAAAAGAACAGGTGCTGGTGAAGATGTGGAGAATTCTTGTGCTCCTGGTGGGAATACACCGTAGTGCAGCTCTTGTGGAACACAGTGTGGCAGT